CAACAATTGGTCTTCAAAGATACGTGAAAACCATAGAAGACTGGATAATGCTCTGTGTAAAAGAACATTTAAGAAATAAGAAACTTTATTCAGTAATAAAGAATCCAAATAATTCAAAATGAAATTTCAAGTGGGTGAAGAAGTGTTAATAAACTATAACCAAGTAAATGTTTAAGAAATAGCAAAACATGTGGTTGCAGATAAATCATGTATTGAACAGTAAATACAACAGAAGAGTGTTGCACGACATTGAAGAGTGTGTCGGTTGACCATCATTCAGTCTATATCACTGTTAGCCTTGAGGCTGACTTCCCTACTATTTTTTTAGTAAGTGGAAGAGAGCACAATAGAATCAGTAGAGGGAGGACACCACAACATACACCTACTGCAAGGAAACACCAAAAGACCAAATGCAGAAACGATGGCAAGATAAGCCTCTTCATAGACAATGATCTTCCCGTACTAAATAAATTCACGTGGAAAAAAAAAAACGTACACCCCAGTGACTATGTAGAAATCTGAAACCAAAAGTTTTACACTTTCTCCACAAGATCAATGCTTGCTAACTATAAATTGCACACCTATTGAAAAATTGTGCTCACCCGAAATGCATATTCTCTAATAAATATCCAGAAATAACTGAACATCTTGTATTATATTTCACTCTGTCAGCACCCACTGAATATAAAACCCGGCATGACACGGTGGGCTAATATCTGCAGTGGGAAATATGAAACTTTTACGGGAAGAAAACTGCAAGAAGCTGGTACGAACACCACCCAGACCAGGTTAGAGAGACAGGACGTGAAACAATTTTATGTGACTTTAAAATACACACAGAGAAAACAATCAAAGCTAATCGCCGAGACACCGTAATCACAAGAACAGAATGTGCTTTTTTGTTGACATTGTACTCTACGTAGATTGCAATGTATGTTTGAAGTTTTTCAAAAAAACTATCAAAATACACGGATCTTGAATTAAAAATCTAAAAGATGTGGCATATGAGGACTTCAATAATTCAAGTTGTAGTTGGAGCCCTCGGTTTTATTGGTAAAAATTCCAACAGACTCAATGAAGGGATTCCTGGTAGCCCATAGCTTAAATGAATACAAAAAACTGTACTCACAAGTACAGCTCATACATTGCGGAAAGCGTTCTCTATTTAAAATATGTGTCTTCTTAAGTTATTTATCTATTTTTCAAAAATGCTCGGTGGAAAATATGAAAAAATTTCTGGACTTAGGTCTTTGATTGGGACCCGGAAAGAAATGTGTATACAACAGAAATCCAAAAAAAATAACAACAACAATAAAAATAATAAATTAAATTACTATTTATCTCTAATTAAAATTTTGATCAAGAAGGAAATGTATTTTTGATTTATTTGCTCGCAACAATATCTATTTAAAAGACGCTAATTCAGGCTATAAAATTATGTGATTTTGCTTTTCTTATATATGTTTGTGAGATAAGGCTATTTGAATTTATTTGGAATTAAGACTTAATTGCAAAATTCAATAAATCTAATGTTTCATTAAGTAACTGGATATTTCAATTAATACATGTGGCACCAAATAAGTAGTTGCATTAATAATTAACTCTCAAATCAGATTAAATAAGCTTGCTCCATGAACAAATATATTTAAGCAAAACAAAGGCAAATGATTTTCTGGAATAATTTAGCGTCTCTTCAATCAAATAATGCCAGAAAGAAATCACAATCTCCACTCAAATTTCGTATAGAATATGTAATAATATGCAAATATAGACACAAAATACATAAATATATACAGAATGAATACATAATACAATTAAATAAATGCAAAAAAATAAACTCAAACATTTAACTGGAAAAAAAGAGTACTTTACTGTTATGCAATCTTCGACCTTCAATTTAGGCAAAATATATAATAAACCTCATCAATCTTATTGCTAATATTGTTATCATTTTGTTGTCTTTTTATTACTCAAATTTAATTAATTGGCATATTATATATATATATATATATATATATATATATATATATATATATATATATATATATATATATATATATATATATAATAATATTTTTGTTTAAAATATGATTCCTTTACATAAGAGTTCTCATGTTTCAAAACGAGAGCCGAAATATCCAAATAATTATTAAAATTAAGTTGGATTGTGGTGTTTAGTCCCGAAGGAAAATAGTCTATCCACTCCCGCAATAACGAATTCTGTAACGGACCGGGCCTAAAAATACACGTAAACCGACAGATAGCTTATTCCTAAAATTTCGCTTGAAGATGAAACGGGACTAAACACCACAATCCAACTTAATTTTAATAATTATTTGGATATTTCGGCTCTCGTTTTTGAAACATGAGAACTCTTATGTAGCGAAGGAATCATATTTTAAACAAAAATATTATTATAATATAAGCTCTACTTCTGTATGGAGCACTGTCTTCTTAAAAATAAAACAAAAAGTACTTAGGAACCCCGGATTATGCACCTAACGTGTTCTTTTCTATTTTCTGCATACCTACGCACTTATATATATATATATATATATATATATATATATATATATATATATATATATATATATATATTTCGGTAGCATATTATCATTAAGACAGGTTTTTTAGACACCACCGTGAATACTAAATAATTACTCTATATTTTATAAAACCCTGGTGATGACGTTATGCTATGTCGAAAGTACTCGGAATATGACAGTATGAGCCAACACGGTGTTTTCCTCTCGTTTTTCCACCGCACAAAAAGCTTATTCGCGAATATGAAAGGATCCTATCAAAAATAAATAGACAAAATGTGTCTAAATTATTGAACGAAACCTGTCTTAATATATATATATATATATATATATATATATATATATAAGGGCAAAAGAAAAAAACTTATCTTAGCCAACATGTTTCGTCATCTGAGGTACTTTTTCAAAAAAAATGTAACGATTTATTTTGTCATAAGTAATTATATACAAGAGCAATAAATATTCATCAGTTTAGAGGAAAATTTAGGCCAGTTCATGGACGTAAGGTCATACAGTTCGATACCTAATAAAAACAAAAATTATTAGTTGAAATATAACACATGAATCAATCCCAAATCGAAAGTATTTAAATAAATACTATATATATATATATATATATATATATATATATATATATATATATATATATATATATATATATGCATTTAAAAATCTCCTACCCAATTGAAATTCAATATTGGGAAATATATACATTAAACAATAAAACTTTTGATTTTTGTAATTCTAACATTTAACTTCATTTTAGCTACAGTAATAGTAGTGATATCGTCTGCTGATGAAATAACAACATATACACCCATAAAATATACACCCATAAAATATACACCCATAAAATAAGTTGTGGATTTATCTATGATGAATTCACATATATCTTTCACTCCAATGTAGCACAATTCATTTCTTTTCCCTTGTAGATGGAAACAAAATATTTCGTCGGAACTTTGTTCACGATGAACTTTGTAATTTGTTTTTTAAACTTCAAACGAACATTGTTTAATACTCAATAATAAAATTATTTAAATGTAAAGAGCTTTGTTTGAAGATTATGTCTTCGCTTTTCACATATTGAAAGAGAGGAGTGAGAAATAGAAAGAGAGAAACAATGTAATGACGCATTTAAGCCTTTTCTGATTTCTGATTTTAACAAATTAATCTTTTCTTTGATCAACATGCATTCGTTTTAACAACGAGCTTTAGAATTGACATTAAAAATCTTTTTTTTTTTCAGAAGCGTAATTGGAACTAATATAAGATCAAAAATATCCACACTGGCATAAATAGATAAGTATTTAAGTATCCTTTTTTGGATTTAGCCATATAAAACCACATAATTATACGGAGCCCTATTTATAATTCCATCAGATCGAGTTATATCAAAGAAATTCAAATTCAATACTTCCCATCTCTTGTCCACATGTTATCATAATTTGATTCGTTTTAATATGCGTACTCTATGTGATAGTTTGTGTGGGCGTGTGCCCGAGTGGTCAAATTCTTCGGTTTCCGGCCATGAGATACCGGCTCGAATACATGACATTTTGATGTTAAGCTTGGAAGCCGATAATAGCCCGTGGAAACGTTAGAGAATGTCTGAAAGCTTAAGCACTGGTTAATCCAAGCTTTGTGAATAAAGTTGGCTGTGTGGAACATTTTCGGAAGCCGTCAATGATTGTGTTATCAAGAAAAGGTAACTGTCGTAATTATTCTTGTGAGAAAGCTCCTAGAAAATTTTACGGTGTTCCTAGTTAAATTATTTCATGACTCTTAATTCTTAAGTTAATGATTAAATAAACTCTTGGAGAGTTGTACGACAATAAAATATCAGTGGAAATCTACCTATCACGTCGTTAAGTGTTTGAGTTTAACAACTTTAACAAAATATTGCAATAACAGTCATAAATATGAATGCTGGTCGTTATTTTAAGAAGTAAGAGGGTACAAATGAAAAGATAAGGAATTGACGACTTCTTTCCATTTCACAGACTTCCACCTTCCTGTCTTTCTTTTATTTTGTCAGGGGCGTCTCTGAATTTTGCCAAGTAGTGTTTCCACGCATTCAAAAGGGAAGAGTCTATTGTGAGGGACTGACAGGACACGTTGAACATATATATCATCCAATATTTCTTTCTTTCTTTCTTTCTTTCTTTCTTTCTTTCATTTTCTTATTAATACCAAGTAGCGTCTCTAAAAGGACCTTTATTTTGCGCGTAAGTATTGGCAGGAAATTTTAAATTCTTCTATCCTTCGGTCTTTCTTTCCTTCTTGATTTCTTTCTTTCATTCATTTTCTCACTGATTCCAAGTATCCTATCTAAAATAGAATTTTCTTCTGACGTAATGAAAACGGAAGTGTCCATTATGAGATATTGGCAGGAAAATTTAAAGAAATATATCTTCCAATCTTTCTTTCTTTCTTTCTTTCTTTCTTTCTTTGCAGTTCCTCTTCTATAGTTCTTTCTTTCATTTCTTTCTTTCTTTCTTTCTATCCGTTAGCTTTTTGCTTTTTTCTTTCATCTTTCTTTTTTCTTTCTTTCTTTCTTTCTTTCTTTCTTTCTTTCTTTCTTTCTTTCTTTCTTTCAGTCAGCTCTTCTTTCGTTTTTATTCTTTCTTTCTTTCCGTTAGCTATTCTTTCTTTCTTTCTTTCTTTCTTTCTTTCTTTCTTTCTTTCTTTCTTTCTTTCTGTTAGCTCTTCTTTCTTTCTTTCTTTCTTTTTCTCACTGTTGCCAAGTGAAGTCTCTGAAATGACTTTTGTATTTCCACGCAATAAAAATCAAAGGACCCATCATGAGGTATTAACAGAAAACTTTAAACACATCTCTCTCTCTCTCTCTCTCTCTCTCTATCTCTCTTTCTTTCTTCCATTCCTAACTTTCTTTCTCTCATTTTCTCACTGAAAGTAGTAGGTTTTCCCCTCGTTCCCTGAGATCAAAATGGAATACTCCATTATTTATGAGATATTGGCAGGACGTAACGGCCGGGCGAACTAACGAAGGGAGGGAGAATCTCACTTATTATATAATTCTTGAATATAAGATAACATTTTAGGAAGATAATGTCCCCATATCTCGAAATGAGCAAGTAGATTATTATTTCTCAAGTATGGAACTAACAGATTTTACGTGATTCTTTGAAATGCAGGAGGTGGCCACAAAGATTTCGCCTGTAGAGTACCTACGCAAAAATATATGAGAAAAAAATATGAGAGAGCCAAAAACCATATTTTAATGCGTCTTGATAAAAAAAAAAGAACGGTTTCTGACAGATATTTTTTTACACTATACAAGCCCCAAGAGCCCTTCAATGCATAAGTAACATAGTTTTAAGTGTGTAAGGGGAGGACCAGATAAAAGGATGCATATTATAATAGTGTATAGTGTAAACATCGGTCGACTCTAAACGTTTATAGAGGTTGGGAAGCGTGAGAGTGTTTCACAAACTTACAATGGAATACGAATGGTAATACTTTTTTAAAACCCTTCCACTGATGGATCCAAAACTTGTGGGTGAAATTGTCGAGGCGGAACTGTTTTGAAAGCCATCATGAAGTTAGAACTCATCGTGACATTGGGTATAGCATTCTCTCTCAGACATTTTAGCTAAGATATAGTTGCCGTATAAAGAAAAAAGATGAATACTCTGGGAGTTAAATAAACCCAAATGTGCGTCTGATACAGGTATTTGATAACCTCCCAATCAGATGGGTGTGTTCGAAAACTTGTAGTTATTTATCGATTATTGTGCATTTCGTTCTAATTTTTAAAAAGAATGTTTTAATATTTAAATAAATCTAAAAGGGATTAGACTAATTGGATGTCATCTCTCGCCCGGTAACAAAATACACAAGTGACACGTGTCACAGGACCCTCATCCAGCGACTGTTCGCATAAAAAAAGACATGGATTGTCAAGAAATAGAGACATGCATTGTCAAAACAGTAAATTAATATGGTCTGCGAGAAAATGTAAAGCAGGAAATGAAGATGTTAAATCTTAATATATTTCTTTTTAAAATCAGCAGTTGTACTGATACTATAAATGGTATCATCACGTAAAGTACAATATTCATTGAGTGATTCATTTTCGACGACTTATCAACATCTTTTCGGATATTTAAAACCAAAAAAAATTTTAGAATACAAGGATTAAGGTGGGGGATAATAATTACTATAGTGATGCAAGTCTTACTAATTAACCCATACCTGGAGGGAGAAGGATAGACTCATACTTACACTATTTACATTATTCGAACTATTGTCCTCATCTTTGTCGCCATATTTATTACAAAGTTTCGGCCCTTCAGTATCTGTCTATATTTCAGAGATGAGGTATTATGTACATTATTTACATTATTTGGACTATTGTCGTCATCTTTGTCGCTATTGGCCGTTGTACGCTCCGGCTTTGTTCTGGTGGTTGGAATGTCGAACTGAACCCTTTATTTCGCTCACTGGGATAAACTGTTCTAATTCCACGTGCCATGCTTAATGGATGTCAGTTATCAGTTATCTCCTGTTAATTTACCTCTCCAAGTTCTTCACTGACTTAACTGGGTATTGAACTCACATTCTTTGAGTCCTGTCACTGGATCTAACTAACGCTTTTATCCACTGTGCCATATGTCCATGAAGAAGAAGAAGCAGGCCGGTAATAAAACGACAAAGATGAGGTTCCGAAAATGTAAATAGTATACATAAATCTCAGTAAAATATAGACAGCTGAAGGGCTGAAAGATGACAAAGATGGACAATAGTCCGAATAATGTAAATAGTGTACATAATACCTCATCTCAGAAATATAGACAGATACTGAAAGGACGAAACGTTATCATAAATATGGCGACAAAGATGAGGACTATGGTCCGAATAATGTAAATAGTCTACATAATACCTCATCTCAGAATTATAGACAGATACTGAAAGGACTCATACTTAATTAGAATTTAATAAGTAACTAATAAATTATAATGTGAATATAAAGTGGGGGATTAATTCTATATTACAATCAATATATAAACTGATTCCTCCATTTGTGCCCATTTTAGTTTCTATGCATTTATATCCCAGAGAATTTAAAAAGAAATCTAAAAAAAACAAAAACAAAGAAAAAACCTGCGTAGCGAACCCTTATTTCGTGAATAGATTTTATGATTCGTTTTTCTCCGACTTATCACCACATTGGTAGTTATTTAGAGCGGTATTCATTTATTTTTTTTTAGATTTCAATAATTTGCTAGGTAGGAGAATGATGACAAGTCATACAAGACTTATTATTTAACCCATAGCTGTCGAGAGAAGAGATGGTTTCATACCTAATCAGAATTTGATAAACAAATAAGAAATTATAATGTTGATATAAAGTGGGGAATCAGTTTTATACGGGAATCACTATATGACAATCATTATATCAACTGAACCCTCACTTTGTGACCACGATAGTTTCTATACATTTCTATTCAAGAGAATGTAAATAAATCTAAAAGACGTGTTTGTGTAGCTAATCAGTATTTCATTGGTTGATTCCTGTTTTACAACTTATCAACATATTGCCTTTTATTTAAAACTGGAAAATATTTTGGATTGTGAGAATTTTTGTGGCGGGGAAATTATAATGACTCTAGTGATATATGCCTTACTAATTAACCCATAGCTGGGGGGAGAAGTGGGGGACTTATACCTAATCAGAACTTAATAAACAAACAAATATGGATATAAAGAGGGGGATCAATTCTATATTACAATCAATACATAAAATGAGTCTTCACTTTGTGGCCAAAATAGTTTCTATACATTTCTATTCCAGAGAATGTAATGAATTTATTTACATTCTCTGGAATAGAAATGTATATAAACAATTCTGGCAACAAACTGAGGGCTCAGTTTGTGTATTGATAGTAATATGGAATTGATCCCCTACTTTATATCCATATTATATTTTCTTGTTTGTTTATAAGCCTTAGAAAACGAATCAGTCAATCAATGAAATACTGATTAGCTACACAGGCATGTCTTTTAGATTTATTAACATTCTATAGAGAATACCGTGGTCACAAAGTGAGGGATCAATTTTTTATATTGACCGTAATATAGAATTGATCACACACTTTATATCCACATTATAATTTCTTGTTTGTTGATAAGCCGTAGAAAACGAATCAATCAATCAAGGAAATACTGATTGGCTACACAGGCATGTGTCGTAGTTTCTATACATTTCTATTCCAGAGAATGTAAATAAATCTAAAAGACATGCCTGTGTAGCTAATCAGTATTTCATTGATTGACTGATTCGTTTTCTAAGGCTTATAAACAAACAAGAAAATATAATATGGATATAAAGTAGGGGATCAATTCCATATTACTATCAATACACAAACTGAGCCCTCAGTTTGTTGCCAGAATTGTTTATATACATTTCTATTCCAGAGAATGTAAATAAATCTAAAAGACATGCCTGTGTAGCTAATCAGTATTTCTTTGATTGATTGATTCGATTTCTACGGCTTATCAACCCTTCACAGGTTATTTAAAGGCAAAAAATAGTTTTAGATTGCAGGAATGTTGGCGGGGGGATAATAATGAGTTTAGTGATACAAGTCTTAGGTGGGAGGGGGGAGAAAAGTTAGATTCATAGGAATAGGAAAGTCCAGTTAGAATGTCGTTAAATGCATTAACTTTCGCACAAGTGCTCTTAGTAAAGTCCTGAATCCGTCTTTTCCGCACCCTCTAAGGAGGGGTAAATTAACAATTATGACTGCGTTATCTAGCCTTGGCTGGCAACCAGTCTAAAAGAAAGAAAACTCTCAATTTCAAACCGTAACGAAAGCAACAAGAAACGATTCTATTATCAGACGAAGACTGCATGGCAATTTATAGATAATAAAGGAATTCGTGGAGAGTTATACGTCCTAGGGGAAATGGCATTAAACAACTAAAAATAAAAAAAACGAGTTGAAACTTAGTTTCCAGATATAGATTTCTTTTCAGGATTATCTCTATTACTGGCGCTAGCATTGATGGCAAAATAATTGTTATATTTTGAAAGGATTTCTCAAATTCAGGAGATCACCACTGATACCAGAACTCGTCATATGAATTACGTTTGAGGGTGAGAGAGATTCGTGCGTTAAGTGACAATTGGGCGTAAAGAAAACGATACACCAAACTATTACTTTCGAAAATACTGGTTCAAATGTACCTTTATAGATTTAGGACTAAAGGAAAATAGTTTCTTGGTGTACGATATATTTGATGCCTTTCGTTTTCCGACAGATGTCGCTCAGTTGCTGACCTGGTACTATGATCAAGAAAGGTCACCAAGATACTTAACGTAGCAACATCAGGATCGATTATATTAGTGCATAAATGTTATACAGAGAGTCAAACGAGATGATCGCCTGTTGAATGGCCATCCCGTGTAGAATTGATGAGAGTCACAAAGATTGGCCAAGGATTATCAGTTCTCGAAGATATATAATCAATATAAAATATCAAGATTTTGCTTGGAAGGGATTTCTTATTTTTCCCATCTTTTTTTTTTATATATTCTTTTTCATGTTTATTCCGTTATTATTCGTTAATTTCGTTCTTGAGAAGTGGGATATGAATATTTCTTTTTTCTGGTTTAACTTTTTAGTTTCTCTTGTTCTACTAGTCCTATCTTTTCTATCTGTTTCTATCTTTTTTTTTCTTTTTTGCTGTTTTTCTTATTCAATGGGACTTTCTTTTCTTATTTCAGTTCATTTATTGTTTCTCTTTTTTGTCACTGATTTTTATTAACACGTTTTCTTCTTTCTTTCGTTCTTTCGTTTTTCATAACTTTTATTCATTTTTCTTTCGTTTATTATTTTTACTTTCTTTCCTTTGTATTCCTTTCATTCATTTTTCTTTGTTTCTTTTTGTTTGTTTGTTTCTTTTATCTTTCTTTGGTTTATTTTCTTCTTTTTTATGTCTCGATTCGGTGTTTATTTTTCATTCATTCAGACATTTCTTTTATATCCATTTCATCTACAGCAATTCTTTGTTTCTTTCTTTGTATTTCCTCTTCTATTCTTCATTCATTCTTTCTTTCTCTGTTTCTTTGTAGTTCCACTTGTATTGTTCTTTCTTTTCCTTAGGACTTTCTTTCATTCTTTCTTTCTATGTAGTACCTCTTCTATTTTTCTTTTTTACTTTCTTTCTTTCTTTGTACTTCCTCTTCTACTGTTATTTCTTTCTTTCTTTTTACTTCCACTTTTATTGTTCTTTCTTTCTATTAGGTCTTTCTTTCTTTCCTTTTTTGTAGTACCTCTTCTCTTTTTCTTTCTTTCTTTCTTTCTTTCTTTCTTTGTAGTTCGTCTAGTATTGTTCTTTCTTTCTTTTCATTATGTCTTCTTTCTTTCTTTCTTTCTTTCTTTCTTTCTTTGTAGTTCGTCTGGTATTGTTCTTTCTTTCTTTTCATTATGTCTTCTTTCTTTCTTTCTTTCTTTCTTTCTTTCTTTCTTTGTAGTTCGTCTGGTATTGTTCTTTCTTTCTTTTCATTATGTCTTCTTCCTTTCTTTCTTTCTAGTTCCTCTTCTATTGTTCGTTCTTTCATTCTTTCTTTGTATTTCCTCTTCTATCGTTCTTTATTTATTTATTTGCAGTTCCTCTTCTGTTCATAATTTTTCTTTCGTTCTTTCTTCCATCCTTTCTTTCTTTGCAGTTCCTCTTCTATTGTTCTCTCTTTCTTCTTTTCTTTCTTTGTATTTCCTCTTGTATTGTTCTTTCTTTCTTTTTTTCTTTCTTTTTTCTTTCTTTCTTTCTTTGTATTTCCTTTTTTATTTTTCTTTCTTTCCATTTATTTCCCTATTGTTTCTTTTTTTCTTTCATTCATAAATTTTATTCTTTATTTCATCTTTTTCTATTATTCTTAATTTCTTTCTTTCTCTTTTTCATATGTACTTTCTTTTTTTTTCTCTCTTCCCATTTTAATCCTTTGTATTTTTTCGTTTCTTCTTCTTTTTATATTCTTCTTCTTAATGTTTCACCTATTAATTTTTATTTATTTATTTATTTTCTCCTTCTCAGACTTTTTCGTTTGTTTGCTTTTTCCTTTTACTCTTTCTTTCTTTCTTTCTTTCTTTCTTTCTTTCTTTCTTTCTTTCTTTCTTTCTTTCTTTCTTCCCTTTTATTCTATTGTTTGTTCCCTTTCATATTATTTCTTCTTCTTCTTCTTCTTCTACTTCTTCTTCTTCTTCTTCTTCTTCTTCTTCTTCTTCGTATTATTATTATTATTATTATTATTATTCCATTTAAATGCTCATCTAATATGCTGTATTGAAAAGCTTTGTCGAGACCATCGTGGAAGTAATAAAATAAAAGTAAAATCCGAAAATACATGGAATTACCCGCCGGAATTTCGCTTTAATATTCTTCTGCTGCTTCTCTGATTTGTCTTTGAATTATTCATATTCTTTGATGGATTCCACTGTCTTCAATGTAAATAAGATGATGTGGGTACAAAGGAGATAAACTATTTGAAATGTGCTCCCATTCCCTCGAGAATTCAAATGGATATTATTTTAACATGGCGTATATGTCCTCTCTCTCTCTCTCTCTCTCTCTCTCTCGGTGTGTATATATATATATATATATATATGTGTGTGTGTGTGTGTTTGTGTGTGTGTGTGCAGCGCGAAGCTGCAAACACACATGCGCAAAGCCTAACCATCTAAATACACCTACGCATGCGCAAAGAGGAACACATAAACTGAAGCAGATGTGTACAGGCAAAAGAAAACGGTAACGCGATCGTTATTATTGGAGAGGGATCTTTATATCCACCTGTAAATGCGGCGCTAAAACTCACACGGATTCTGTGTGAAGTTTTTGATTCTCTCAGGTGACAAAGATGGATGTTTCCTTTAACGGTAATTGAATATTTAATGTCCATGAAAGACTTGCCCATTTTAATGATTTAAAAAAAAAAAAAATACTTGAACGTTAAGAAAATTAGTTAAACGAGAGAAATTAATTGATTGAAATTAATGGCTTCGAGAAAAAGACTGATCACTATTCAGTGAGAAGAATATCTGACAAGTGTCATTATCCTATGAAATAATCGACAACGAAAATAAAAACGTAGTTATAACAAAAAAGCGGCAATTAATTAAGAATACATTTTGCTAGAAACTCCGATCCATTCCTACAAAATATTTTATGAATTAAAAACACGAAAATGTCTTCAAGGATGAGTGACAAAATATATTTTCATTTTTATGATTTAAATAAATTTCTTCATCCAGGTTAGGAGACTAATTATGAGTGTGGATATTAAGGAAAATAAAACACCATCTAAAGGCGGATTTTTGTCACTTAAAAGCATTGAAACATTTTTTATGTTTCAGTTTAAATAAAAGCCTGTTATGAACGGTAAAATTCATATAAGGTTTACTGATCACTGCATTTCGAACTTGTTGATTGGCTTAACAGCAAAATCAGTCTTTTCTTATATTCCTGTCATCCGAACAAGTACCTGCTGATTATAGTTGGCTCCCTAAGCTTCGTATTAGGTCGCGGATAAGTATACAATGACCATCTGTCTTTATTTCTGAGATGAGGTATTATGTATACTATTTACATTATTCGGACTATTGTCGTAATCTTTGTCGCCATATTTATAACAACGTTTCGGCCGCTGTACGCTCCGGTCTTCTTCATGTGGTTGTAATGTTGAACTGAACCCTGGCACTGTGATATCAGGCGTTGGTTAGATCCAGTGACAGGACCCAAAGAGTTGTGAGTTCAATACCTGGTTAAGGAAGTGGAGAACTTGGAGAGGTGAATTAACAGGAGATAACTGATAATTGACATCCATTAAACATGGAACGTGGAATTAGAACAGTCTAACCCAGTTCGACATTCCAACCAACTGAAGAAGGCCGGAGCGTACAATGGCCGAAACGTTGTCATCAATATGGCAACAAAGATGAGGACAATAGTCCGAATAATGTAAATAGTATATATATATATATATATATATATATATATATATATATATTATAATAATAATAATAATCGACTCTCCCGTCGAGATTCGACATATGAGGGTCAAGCAGATCAGTTTCCAGGAAACCGACAGCCCGACACCGGCACATGAGATTTGATTATAGTGGTGAAGGCCTCGTGCAGGACCATCCACACTTTTTGAAGGGACGAATACAGAAACCTGGTGCACCGAATGCCACAAGGTTCCCAAACGACCCTCCGCAGGTTTTGAATTCAGAGTTGTCCTTCTCCTAGACCAGTTGCCATCCAAGGCTATAGAACCCAGTCTTCCCTGCTATTTTACCCATAGCTGGAGGGAGAGGAATAGGATTCAAACCTTTCCCAAGGTATGAATCTATCAGCACGTAAGTGTATGTAATGGATTCGACTGGATTCGAACACGGCCCTGCGATTCCTCAATCCAAGCCGCTATCCATTACCGTGCCTCCTATATATATGCCTTCCACTAACCTTCAGGAAAGTCTTTAGTTGCGTCTTTTCGGGTTAACATTCTCAGCCGACATGAAGTGGAATGACTATATTGAATCCATTGCTAGGTCAGCTGCTAAGAAAGTTGGTTCTCTGTGTCGTGCGAGACAATTTCTCTCTCCAGAATATATCTTATGTATCCATAAGTCTACCATTCTTCCCTGCTTAAAATATTACTACAGTACATGATCCACTATTATTCTTGAGTTTCATGTTAAAATGCAAAGGAGAATCAACAATATTATTGGTCCTGATCTGGCAACTCGCCTTCAGTCTACTTCCCACCGCTATAGGGTTGGCTCTCTCTATCTTTTCTATAAATACATTCATGGTAATTGTTCGGATTAGCTCTTCAATAGAGTGCTTGGGAGGAATGAATGTTTTATACTATTATAGTCCCGCATTGATTTCGCCCAGTGAACCGATGTTTCTGCCACATTTAGTGATTGTAAGTCGGGGGGTGGGGGTATTACTAATCTTATTTTCTTTAGTTTCTTGTAAATAGTTTTTGTATTCATATTGTAAATACTCATTGGGGCTAGTTTTTAGAATTGTTGTTTTATTCCCCTCCCCCCACAGCCAATGAATTGTAAATATGGGGACTAGTTAGTGTTTTCATAGAGACAAAGAGGTATTATGGTGGTTGTAATAAGAAAGGTACGTATGAATGTGTTGTTTGTGTGTAAGGAATATTGTTCGTACGATTGGGTCAGTGTTTACGGCTAGTCAAGTTATAGTTAAGACAGAAGAAGACTTAAATCTACTGTTTTTTATTTGTTAAATCTTCTATGTTTTTGTCTAATCAGTTTGCGTTTTCTAAATTTTATTTTCTGTCTCTTTTAGGCAAGACTTGTTTTTCGTGTTCCGTTTGTTTTGACCGGCCATGGTTTTGTGCAACGTCGGCCATCTTGTATTTGTAAGACGTGTTACTTTTATGCATTTCTTTTTTTTTTAGCATTTTACTGTTGTATTATTTTATAAAAAAAGAGAATTATACATATTTTTTTATTTAAACTTCTAATTTACTTTCTTGTCTCTCTTACTGTGTGTATTTTTGCTTTTTAAGTCTTCGCACATTTAACCGTTTTTGGTGTATATTTATTTATATCCATTCGAAGGAAATTGTGATTTACTTGTTCACTTCTTATCCGTCATAATTTTGTCTTTTCTTTAATTTATTGTTGCTTTTATTTGAAAAAGTTATTTATTTGAAAAAGAAAAACAGGTTTGGTTAAAAATGGCTACCCCAAGTAGGGCAATCAAGAAATCTATTTAGACCCAATAAAAAGAAAGTCCATCCTGATAAAAATAAACAATCCGATGAGATAATAGATCCAACTTAGCAATGATTTAGTTGAAGCAATGGTGACTGGAAAAAGCAAAAATAAGGAAACTACTGAGTATAACGACCAAAAATGTATGGGGACCGAAAATAGTCATAATTCGTAGATTTACAAAGAAAGAACAGAGACAACTGACCCAAAATATATGCAAACCGAGAAAACCAACTAATTGGCATCTTCAGAAACAATCAACAAAAGCATCAATGTAGCGATCAGCTAGACTGCCTCTTACTTGAAGTCCTCGCCAATGTGTAAAATCAATATTACGGAATTCTTCGCAAAGGTTAAAAAATAGGCACATCTTGTCACAGAAGATGGCTCATCCCCGTTGAATTAAAGAAATTTGAAAAAGAATCGTGTCAGTCTTTGTGGTAGACAAGCGTTCGCGCAAAATTTTACGCTTCACAAAAGACACCGTTATAAAATCTTTGACGTCTCTGGGGGTCAAAACTCAGAGGGCCATAAAAGGAAAGGGAATTTTTTATGTGGGGCGTACTGTTACCGATACCTGTCGACTAAGAAACTGCATCCAGTCGTGAAGAATAGACATTTTGAGATCTGTATATGAAACACTAGAGGACAGTATCTGTATATGAGGTAAGTCGTCAGATCGTCGGGGATCACTTGGCTGCATATCTATACCAAATCGGACAGATACTCAGTGCTTCATCTTGACGAAATGACTGAGGTGTCTGGATGTAGAGAGCCAGAAAATGCCATTAATTGTAACCAGCTGTAGACCAACATTGGAAGTGTGGAGAGACTGGTGATCTCTTTTCTTCCTGCCCAGAGAAGGAGGCCTCTGTAGTTCTGGCCCCCGCCATCGCAAATCCCCCTTTGATCGAGTCTTCTCTTTCCGTTTCGCCTGTAATGTGCATGCCAACGACAGCCTTCGAAAAGTCTTTTACCGCCACTTGTGTGGTTGCGGGGAAGGGGGAATGGCACGTCATTATTAGGGATAAAAGGAAGCCTCCAGACAGCAAGACCTCGTTCCACAAAAGAACCGACAGGTAATTTCACATACAGGCCAACTTCTCCACTAGTTCTAAGGACAATTCCTCGACCAGTTACGCTAAGCAATTACGACAAAAAAAACTCAAATACGAACCAAGTTTTGAAAAAGTGGAAAAACTTGATCAGCTAAAGGAAGATTTAAAGACAAAACGTCAGGTGTCCTGAAGAAAAATTGGCATTTCTTTCTCGGAAACGTGTTCCTCTTCTAAAAAACACTAATGTTCACCCGAGACGCTGAAGGTCACGAGAGACCCTCGCTCTGCGAGACTCTGATCTCAGGCCTCGGGCATTCCAGGCTAGCTAATCAGGGTGCCATTATCAAACAAATTAGGGTTGCTCTAATGCATTGAACATGGTCGTGGCAAGGACACCGAAAGCCTGTCCCATTGACCTGTTCCCATCTCAGTCTTGATTGTATTATCA